TCAGCCTCCCTACGCAGCACTCCTTCTTGCTGAGTATGGAGTGGGACTCCTTCTGAGATATGGGGGTCTGATGATCTGACAAAGTAGGTCAGAGAATTTCTTTATGACCTGCTCCATGACAGAAAGTTGAGGGAATGATAGTTTCTACAGTTTCCCTTGGGGAAGAGAAATTTTAGTTTCTCTGGCCCACTTTGAAAATAGAGTTATAAGCCAGGAATTGTGGGTGAAAATATGAAAATATGTATCATCATAATATCATAACCAGAGACATCTAAAATCTCCACTAGGTGGTCCTAATCAGAACCAGATGGTCAGAGTTATCATTTGGAGCTCATCTCTTGCAAGGCAAGAGGAAAAGTAAAAAGCACTTTGAATTCTAGTTGCACGGTGACCATATCTGGGGAAGTAGACAATTTCTCTGGAGCTTTTTTAAAAAGAGCTTTCAGCACACAGGCTGTTGTCTGGTCAGCAGCCTTTCTGGGACCTGTGGTCTGGAAGACAGAGAGAGGATGAGGCTGCCTGGAGAACCAGCTGCGCCAGACCCTGAAGGCTACAGAGGATGGGTGGCTCATTTGTCCAGCTTTCCATGACAGGGACAGGGAAAAGGTGGGGTTCTTTTCCTGTGGGAGATCTTTACTCCAGGCTCATTGAGCTGGGAACCTCTGCACCTGATTATTCCAATATATCTTTATACATACGCTGGGGCAGAACTTAGCTCCATGCATAGGCACAGCAGTCTCCAGAATAAGCCCAGCACACATTAAACTCATGCTGAGCCACCTGGACATGCTGCTTTGCCTCTCCACAGCTTCCCTTTAGCATGATGCTAGAGATGCCCTCCAAGCCAGGCTGTGTGATGTATTAAAGTGAACAATACATAGAAAGTTCTTAGCTCAGTACACAGCTCAGAGTAAGTGCCCAAACATTTTTGTTGAGAATTGATACTATGGTTACAAAGTGGCACTAAGCAGAGCCGGATGTAGGGTGTTGGTAAGTTTTCCATGACCCCCGACCCCTTCACTGCACAGCTGTCTCTTTGAGGAAGGAAAAGTGAAAGACCCTGGATTGGATGGAAGACAGCCAACATCCTTCCCTATAAAACCCTTGCTCCACCCCTGCTCCAAGCCTTCTGGTTGAAATTTCTCTGGACCAAGCAAGGCATCAGCTAGCACATGGCTTGCTGAGGGCTGTGGCTGTGAGCAGGTCTTCAGGAAAGTCAGGGAGGAGGAGCTGGAGTGTGGCTGTGGCCTGTGGTCTGGAAGACAGAGAGAGGATGAGGCTGACTGAAGAACCAGCTGGGCCAGACTCTGAAGGCTGCAGAGGGTGAGTGACTCATTTGTCCAGCTTTCCATGACAGGGACAGGGAAAGGTGGGGTTCTTTTCCTGTGGGAGATCTAGAAAGGGTGGCTGGTCTGCTTTGGGCAAAAGTTAGGAGATCTGAGTTCTGCTCTTACCTTGTCACTCCCTGTCCTAGTCTCCTCTAACCCCTTCCCAGAGTTATCTGTTCATTCACATTCTGCTGGCTGGCCACACTGATCTCATCTCTGAGAAGAGAGAGGTGCAATCCAGTCCCTGCCTCCCTGGGCCAGCATTTACTGTGTTCCAGAGTTCTCGCAGCTCTGTGGAGTGACTCACTGAGGGGTCCTGAGAGGCAAAGTTCTGCTCAACTCTCAGGGCAGTACTTTTCCAATTATGGGCCTCGGCTACCCTGAATTGGTCACAAGCATCCAGAGTGCTGGTTAAATGTGCAGGTGCCCAGCTCACACTGGAGTTGATGCGTCACACTGTTTATTTTCACAAGCTCCCCTGCTTCTGGCAGGCAGGTTGTGCAATGTGGGAGCCACTGCTCTTCAGGAGGATGGTGTTTGGGGCTGTGGAGGGCTGTCTTGAAACTGCTGGAAGATGACAGGTTGTCAGAGGGAGATGTGATGGTCGTGGGACACATCACATGTGGGAAGTCATCACTTGTGAAACTCAAGGGCACAGGGGCACCTATGCTGACCTGGTGGCTACAGAAGTAGTGAGCTCCTGTCAGGGAAAGTTTAGGCTGATTTTTTGCATAGGAGGGGGAGCCGGTGGAGCTGGGGCTGACATAGTGGTTCTCTGCGGCTGGCATGGAACTATCTAGGAAACTCAGAGAAGCCAAATCTTAAAATAGACTTATGTTGAGGCCCTGGGAGATGAGAAGCTCTGATTGGAAGTTCCCTTCCATTTTTACAAATTTGTTTCTGTGATGGCCCAACAGGTTTAATAATAACAATACCTACTGCATTTGGGTATCCCAAAGCTTTAAAGGGACAACGGGCTAGGGAACAATATGTGGAGGAATGAAGTGCCTGGCAATTTGGAGGCCTGCGTTCCTGCCTTGGAGGATGCAGAAGCTTCCCTGTCTCTGTGGGAGGCTGGCGTGGGCGTTGACACAGCCCCTGCCACTTCTACTGCACTTTTCTGAAGTCCCCACTTCTCTTCCTGCTCCAGAGTGAAGTGGGCCCTAGGGGTTTTGAACTGGCCTTTGGAAGAGGCTGCCTGGAGAACCCTCTTCTTGGTGCACAGCCCCAGTGGCTCACTAGAACCATATGTTTACAGATGAGGAGGCAGCAAGCACCTGGTTAGGTGGTCTGTACAGAGAACCTGAGGGGTCCAGAGCTTGGGACCTAGTCACAGCTCTGCCCTGAGTCACTTCAGGGTCCCTGGGAAGAAATCTCTCTGTGTCCACTCTGGGAAATAGGAATCTACACAAGACTTGCTAATTTGGAAGGTGGAGTTAGGCATACATTATTTATATACACACACATACATACATACACACACACACAATAAAATATACATTTATTGTATATACACACAAATATACACATGCATATATAAACACACACATAAATACACACACATAAACATACACAATAGACTAAAGCATATGTATGTGTGCACATATATATGCTTTAGTGTACTGTGTATGTATATGTGTGTATATATGTGTGTTTATATATAAATATATACTCATATACATACCACACATATATAACATATAATGCATTGTTTTAAATTTTTTTTAGTTGTCAATGGACATTTATTTTATTTAATTGTAAGTGGTGCTGAGAATCAAACCCATTGCCTCACACATTCTAGGCAAGCACTCTAACACTGAGCCACAATCCCAGCCCTCCAACACATGTTTATAAAGAGATCAAATAGAGAGAAACAGAAAAGTCAGATAACTTGTACAGTTGCCAAGCAAGCAAGGGTAGCTCACAAGCCCTCTCTGGAGGTTTGGGAGTTCTTTCTGAGGGTTCAACCAGCAGCTCTGGTGTCATCATTGGAATGTACCTTTCTAAGCCCCAGTGCTCAGTACCTCTCAGGGTCTGCTGCTCAGGGGCTTGCCCTTCAGCTCCTGGGGGTTGGGCCTGACCTGGACACCTGCTCTTGGAGGTGCCTGAGTGCTCAGGAGTAGGAATGTCAGGGAAAGAGTGGTAAATAGAAGATAGGGGCAGAGGAAGCCAAGAAGGAGTGAAGCCCCAGGATGCTGAGGGTCACACGGAATGGGTAGGCAGAAGGGCTCCAAGGCAGGCTGGGGACCCTGGCACCATCTGGCAGGCAGCAGAGGCAGCTGGCAAGGGTGGAGTGAGCTGGAGAGTGTCACTCCATTGGGGATTACAATTATGCTGGGACACATGCTAGGCAGAGGCTATAACTCTTCCCCTCCCCCTCCTAGCAATCCCCCCACCAGAACCCCACGGGACCTCTTGTATTGCTAAGAGCCCTGTGACTGTGTCACGGAAAGGGGTGTCCTGATTTCCTCACTAAACTCTGATCAGAGGGCATGAGGGGAGATGGTCAATGCTGTGTGGCCACATAGACTGCACCCTGGGCCTGCAGTCCTGGCTGAGCCAGGCTCATTCTAGAAGTGTTGGAACAGGACCAGAGGCTCTGGGGCATACCAGGATGAAAGAACAGACTTGAATTTGAGCTCTGTCTCTGTGTCTAACCTGCTGAATACATTTAACTAAGAACCTTAACTGCTCTGAGTCCATTTCCTCTCTGCAAAGTGCCATGGCCCACCAGAGATCCAATGAAGCAGGAATGGTAGGAAGGATGGGAAAGCAGGGAAGAGCTGTGTGAAGGTGAGGTGGAAAAGCCATCATCATCTGGAGTGATCCCTATCATGGGGTCCGTCCCACGGGAGCCCTGTCTTTTCACAGCCTATAGAGATGCAAGCCTTGGCCAGCCCCCATAGTGGGGAGGCAGGGCTGGTGGCTTGGGGAGGAAAAGGCCCGGCTGCAGAGGTTCCGACCCACAGTCAAAGCTGAACGTACTGCAGGCGAGGCCCAGAGCCTGAGTTAGAGCGCAGCAGAGGTCCTGGCACCACCATGGGGCCTCTGGAGCCCAGGGCCACCCCAGACCCATAAGTTTATCTCCTTTGTCTCCCAGCACAAGTGCAGAGGAGGATGCCAAGTGGCTTCAGTGGGTGACACAGCAGTTCAAGAACATTGCCGGAAAAGACAGGCAGATCAACCTACAAGAATTCAAAAGAGCACTGAATGTGAAAGAGGCAAGTAACAACCCGAAGCAGGGGCCCTGCATTTATATTTTATAGAGGAAGAGCAGCTGGTTCTCAAGACAGAGGCCTTACAGGAGAGCCAGGGAGTTCCCCAGGGTTCCTTTGGACTTGAGGCCCCACAGCTAAGAAAGGCTGGCAAGGGGGTGCTGGTGCCCTCCCATCCCTCTGAGTAGCCATGGCCTTCTGGGATTTTCCAACAACACACGAGCTGGGTGCGGTGGTTCAGGCCAGTAATCTCAGTGACTCAGGACGCTGAGGCAGGAGGATCACAAGCTCAAAGCCAGACTCAGCAATTTAGTGAGACCCTCTCTCAAAATAAAAACAAAAAAGAATTGGAGATGCACCCCAGGATTCAATCCCCAGTACAAAAAAGAAATCAAAGGAGGAAGAAGAAAAGAAATCCCACAAAGTAGAAGTCAGCAGAAATATTGAGAGATAGTACAGCCTCTCAGTTCCCTCTAGCCTTGAGGGTAAAGCTGATGCTCTGACTTTAGCCTCTTTCCAGGGAAAAGTTTTTGAACCGAAGCAGGCCTCCCTGCCAAGAAAACAATGCACTTATCAGCAGAAAAGAGAGCCAACTGTCCTCTGAGCTGACATGGGATGGTGGCCGTGTCCTTGGCAGGGGTTGGCCAGTGAGCATTTGAGTGTCCCAGGTGGATCAGAAAGCACTGCTTGGAAAACTACAGTCGCAAGTCCTAACCCAGAAAACACAGGGAAGGAACAATTGGCCCACTCAGGCCAATGATTCAGTTCCTTCAAAACAGGAGGCTGTGAGCACCTCAAGGTAAAGGTCACTCATGGTGATAGAAAGATAAAGGCACTACCCTAGGAACCCAGGGGGAAAGGAAGGAAGCCAAGGCTGACAAGCTCCTCCCTCCCCCCCAGGGAGGCATCTCAGGACTCCAAGCCCCACCCACCTTAATTCCTGTGTGTGTCTCCAGCATCTTCTGCCAGGCCTGGAAAGCAGGGGCTGCACAGTGCATGACTGTTGATAACTGAGTCAGCTCTTAAGAACAAGCCATAAGTGTAGGCTGCAGAGAGCCTTAAGAACCAGAAAAGCACAATGTCGATTGGGTCTACTGTATAAGTCCCTGTCAAGTTCACTTACCCCTTGTGGACACCCAAAAGGGGAGGAGACAAATTCTGGAAGGAACCCGCCCTTTTCCCAGGTTGGGTAAGGGGCCACCCAGAGATCTGGACTGCAAGGCCGACAGGGGCTCTAGCATGCAGGTCTGCAGCCACCCGGGTCTCCCCCGCTTCCCCTCCACAGTCCTTCTTTGCAGAGCGGTTCTTTACCCTGTTTGACTTGGATGGAAATGGCACCATCACCCTGGAGGAGCTGCAGGAGGCGCTCACCCTGCTCACCCGCGGCCACCCCATGGACAAACTCAAATTCCTCTTCCAGGTGTACGACGTGGATGGTGAGGGCTCTTCCTGGGCACGGGCTGGGTGGAGAGGACGGGGCCCTTGGAAGAAGCCAGCCGTCTCAATGCTAAGTTCCATGAGGCTCTACAGACCTAGCCTGGGCCTGAGCCTAGGTCCTCAGGAGAGGCTGGCTTCCTTGTCCCTCCTGAAGTCCCCCATCTCTGCCCCTCTGGGGCAGGAAACACATGCCTTTGATTCCACTTACCCAGAAGCTGGTGGTTTCCTTCTGTTCTTTGGTTGAAAAAAGAAATCACTTTGTTGCTTTTTTTCTTATCATCACAATAATAGAAGCTCACCATGAACATGTCTGATAACTCAAAATGGTGTAAAGAAAGCTAACACCTCCCATAACATTTTACCAAACTTCTTTCTATGGTCACACACACCCCACAACCTTTTAAAAAAATGGGACCATGCTAGTTTATTTTTCATTAAACAATATCAATATTTTTCATGTAAGAATACATTGTTTTACAACATCATTTTTATCATAGTGAAATATACATAACATAAAATTTACCATTATAACCATTTTAACGGTGAAGTTCACTGGCATTAAGTGCATTCAGAACTTTCCATCTTCCCAAATTGAAACTCTGTACTGTTAAACACTAATTCCCCATTCCCCTCCCCCCTCCTTCTACTTTCTGTCTGAGAATTTGACGGCTCTAGACATCTCATATAAGTGGGATTATACAATATTTGTCCTTTTGTGTCTTGCTTGTTTCATTTAATATGATGTCTTCAAGTTTCACCAATGTTGTATTATGTGACAGGATTTCATTCCTTTTTAAGTCTGAATAATATTGCACACACACACACACACACACACACACACACACTAACACACAAACACCACATTTTTTTGTTTATTCATACATCTGTCAACAGACCCTTATATTGTTTCTGTCATTTGGTAACTGTGAATAATGCTGCTATGGACATTAATATACAAATACGTTTGTGTCCCTCTTTTCAATTCTTTTGGGTACATACTCAGAAGTGGAATTGATAGATCACATCATAATCCTGTGTCTAATTTTTCAAGGAACTGCCTTGTTTTCTACAAAGGCTGCAGAGTTTTATGTTCCTTAAGCAATGGACAATTGTTCCAAGTTCTCCACTTCCTTTCTAATACTGTTACTTGTTACTTGTGGGAACTCACATGGGTTCTTGCACTGTTTTTGAGTGCGGCTTCATGGTTCCCACATATGCTGTGTAGCCTAGCTTAGTAGTTAAGGGCTCAGACTCTGAAGCTGAGCTACCTAGGTTCCAATATCAGTTTCATCTCTGAATTTTAGCATGTTACTTATTGAGGTATTTTGTTTATCTCATTTTTTAAACTACTAAATGGGGATAATGATAATGATAATAGTATATACCCAGGTTGAGAGGAGGAATAAATTAGTTAATTTATGTAAACTCAGAACAGTGCTTAAACACAGGATAATTAAAGAAATCAGCTATTAAATTGTTATTATCAGTTTAAGTTCTGTTTACTTAAATCCCTTTACCTAAATGGAGAATTACAGCCTACCACCCTTCCTCTTTGGCATTATAAACAAAATTTCAACGAACATCCTGATTTGTACATCTTTGGTGATTTATTTGATTATTTCCTTAGTATAAATTCCTAGGAAAGCTTATATTAATGTTCAGGCAGGAGATTTCAAAATTATTTTTAAATATTAAGAACAACGAAAGATAAATACAGGGAGCTAGGAAGCCCAGCCTAGCAGCTTCCTGGTAGGGGCATGGCCTCCGCTCACCCGGCCCAGGCTCTACTGCAAGGGAGGAAGACCAATCTTCTCAGCACAGGGGATAGCCAAAGCCCCTTCTTTGGTCGCTGGCACCCCTGTAAATAAATAAGCTCCCTGCTCTGCAACATGAACCTTTCTCAGCTTACACATCTAAACTTTCGGGGCCAGAGCCAGCCACTAGGAGTGCTAGCTTTTTCTGCAGAAGAGTGTGGACGCTGATTTATTCTGCTTTGATTTTTATGGTGGGTGGGTGGGGGGAGCAGTACCACCATTTGCTAATGTGAAGAATAAAAGGAGGAGCTGGAAGACAGGAGGGGCTCTGGTAGAGGCTGGGAGAAGAGTGTTCTATTAAGTGCCTCTTCCCATTTTTGCCTTTAATAAGTGCAAAGGCCATGGTTTGGAGTCTCAGTTCAATGAGCAATGGGGAGCCATCAAAAAGTGTTGAGCAGGGAAATGACAGGACTGGATTTGCATTCCAAAAAATTTAAATGTCAATGCCAACATGTCCAGGAAGCAGGCATGGTCAACAGCCCATGCAACTGGGGAGCAGGTTCCAGGAATGAGGTCTAGCTAGATGGGGTCAGGTGGGAATGGGAATTAGAGAAACCCCCAGAGTTGCTGACCATGCCTACTTCCTGAGCATCTTCCTCAGCCCCCTTCCCAGTCTCCCGGGGCCCCTCATCACTGGCTGTTCCTAAATACCAAATTTTGCTCACACCTGGGGAGTCATCAATGACCTGATAAGGAGGGGTCCGTCTGTAACTGGAGGAAGAAGAAATGTATACCTTGCCTTGGGGGACTGTTGTAGGGATAAACGAGGTAAGGCACTGAAGATAGCAGGAAACAGTTTTATTTGGCTGCAGCCAGGTTCAGAGGGCACAGCTTTTGCTGTAATCAATGAATTCCCTGAACCCCGAGTTCAGGGAGTTTCAGAGTTTTATACCCAGCATGTAAGGGGAGGGGCTCAGAAGTTCACAGTATGCAGAAGTTCACATAAAAGCAGCTTTTTCTTTCACTGTTCTGGGCAAGTTAACCCTTCAAGGACAACACCTAAGAAGGGGAGAGCTTCTTCTCCCCTTTCTATTCTCCCCCTGCCAGCTGTTACCATGGAGCCCAGTTGGTAACTTCTCTTATCTTAAAAATGTAGACATCTCTGTGAAGCCCAGCTCAAGGCCAGAACCTTGTTTGCACATTTCTTCAAAGTACTATTCTGGATATGTTTGTGAAAAACTAGTAAGGGGGTGTCCAGCACCTGGAGGGCTGGTATCTTCTCGGCCAGTGGCCAAGTAAACA